ATTGAAGCATCCACGTTCAGTTTTTAATTGTAGTGTATGTTCTTTTACTGAACTAAATGATTTTTATTACTATAAAAAAATCAAAACGACGGTGGGGGTCGGTGCCGCGGTGGGCAAGTGACGTAACCGGTGTTGCGGCTTAACATCACCGTCAGCACCGTCTATCACGGCAAGCCTAGTCTCTTTCAGCATGTTCTTTGTCAATGACATGCAGTGAGATTTCGTCCTGTTTTGAAGCAATTAAATTATTATAAATGAAATGCTTTTGGTCATATATTTGACTTATTTTACATATATTCACCTGGCAACTCCTTGCAACCAATCATAATTAAGAATTTAACAATGTGACGTGTAAGGCATGAGAATCTTATGTGAGTACTAGTGTGTGGCGTTGAGTTTATTTCCCATCAGGCAGTATAACGGGGTGGGTGGGTGTGAAAGAGGTCATTATCCTCTAATTACTTGCTACAGTTGGTGGTCTAATCATGTAAATAAGGCAGAGAGAAACACGAATCATTGTGCTAGAGGAAGTGATCTGTAATTTTTGACTGTGTATGGGATTGAGACAAACAGATACTGGGCCAGTACAGTTTCTTCAAGACTGCCTTGACTTGGTTTTAGAATGATGTTAATTGACCCTTCACTGAGAGTTTGATTGACAGGCGATCTGACCAATCATAAGGCCGGATCTGCCATTTTGTCAGACAAACAAACTAGACAGGAGAGTAGATTAACCTCGGTGGACTTGAACTTGAAAAATGGTGTGCATTTGAAACAAGATACCTTCTGATGTTCATTCATGTTTATTTCATGCTTTAAGTAAATATGGAAAGATGATCGGTTCACATGCGCTTAAACTGAGATGCTACAGCGATCTGACACAAAATGGTATTTTTTATTGTTGGAAATTCTTTAAAAAAATGACAAAATCACTTTGTCTCATACCAAAAGAAACCTGCTCTGTCTTGTCTGTCACTGTTCCGCGATATGTATATTTCACTGCATGAGAACATGATGTTTGGTGTGAGAGTGGCATGGCTTGTCGAACGTAGCAACGGTAACTTAAGGGGACAGGATTTTGCAAAGGATAAAGGATGAATATTCAAAGCTTTTATTTACTTAATCTAGTTGTTGTGGACCTTGGTTTGTTTGTTTATCGCCTTCAGCAATTTGATTTGTTTATTTAAAAGTGAAATTAAGAGCTTAATTGAAAAGAATCATAAAAGTACATGCAAATGTTACAATGAAAAACATATTCAGAAAAAGTAGTAGCCTATATATAGTTTTCTTTTGATTTTGTACTGAAATATACCGTATTGGCCCGAATATAAGACGACCCCCCGTTTTCCAGATGTACCTTTTGGAAAAAGGCTTTTTAAAAGCAAAATCTTGTTTTTTCTCAGTAAAACACATTTTGTCTTCGATTATTTTCATATTGCATATTTTTCCTATTTTAATTTTTGTTTTGAAAGTATGGTAAAAACTGGTAAAATGTACCAACAATCACATTTAAAAAATATACACTTTTTGATATAACATAAAAAAACAAAAAAAACAGGTAGCCCATCTGAATTAGGACATTTAGGCTATCCATCTAATAGTAGCCTACCAAAAATGTTATTAACAGTAGAAGTTAAATCTTACTGTAGTCTTCAAATCTGGGTACTGTCTTACGTTTTAAAATCACAAAGAGAGTTTGGTCCCATCAGGCTAACGTGACAGTCACGACTCATGCAGCTGTAAGGTTTTCTTTTGTTTTTACTCGTGATCTTTACAACACTCATTACATTACGTATTTCATGGCACACTCGTTGTATGCGTATTTGGCGCCACCTATTGTTGTGGGTGTATTATTGACATGTCAAAGTCTAGACCCTGAATATAAGACGACCGCGTTTTTTCAGACGTATTTCCAAGAAAAAAACATCGTCTTATATTCGGGTCAATACGGTAATTTCTATGTCATGTAGTGTTCCTGTGAAGTTCAGGTAGTTTTATACCTTGGTTTTTTTGTTTATTGCCTTCAGCAATTTGAGTCATGTAGGAAAAACAATTGAAAATAAGAGCTTCATTAAGAATAATGATGAAAGTACATGCATTTGTTACTATGTAAAAAACAAAAAATCTTAATCCTAAAATAGTATAAATTATTTCTGAGATTTCTTTTGATTTTGGACTGAAATATGATTTCCCATGTCATGACATGTCCTGGTTGTAGTGTGATCATTATTGCATAGATGAGTTTATAGTTTTGTCTTTCTGCTCCGCAGGGCATCCCACAGGTGATTCTGGTGGGTCATGACTGGGGCGGTGCTCTGGTGTGGAACATGGCACAGTTCCATCCTGAGAGAGTGAGGTATTGCATTTCAGAGAGAATCATTAACAAAATGATTCAAGAATGTCATGAGTGTTGGTTTAGTTTGATGTCTGTTATGCACAGTGCACAGAAATGCACACTTTTTCTTCCCATGTTAATCATTTTATTTTGACATGCAGGGCCGTGGCGTCTCTCAACACACCTCTTTTTCCTGTGGATCCAAAAACAAATCCAATGGAGAAACTCAAGACCATGCCGATCTTTGATTACCAGATCTATTTCCAGAAGCCTGTGAGTGATTATCAATATTGAATTATGTTCATTTATACACACACACACACACACACACACACACACATACTTGTATTTGTGGTTTACGGGAACTCTCCATAGGCGTATATAGATTTTAGATAATAGTTAATATTATGTATTATATATTTTTTAATTATACATTGATTATAATATATGATTTTGTATTATATTAATTGTAATATTTAAATATTTTTATATATATTATATTAACATTAGAATTTCGAATATATATTTAAATATGTTAATAGGGTAACAATTTACAATAATGTTCCACTTAAGGCTCCAGACTTTGGTAATATGGTAACATTTTACATTATTAAAATCAGATATTATTTGTTAATATAATTACAACAACAATAATAGAAAATAATTATATATACATAATTTAATTAATTACATGATGTGCCGATTAATTAATCTAATTAATTAATCGCACATCAAATTTGGCTGAGAAATGACTCCCAAAAGATAATTTAAAGTCATTGTTCATTGTTGCATCAAACAGACATTACAAAAAGTAGCTTCTGCAAGAAATATTTTGTTTGATTCAACATAAAATGTATTACATATACAGGGTGAGTAAATGATGACAACATTTTCATTTTTGGGTGAGTGAACTATACCTTTAATAATTTGTATTATTATCATTTATATATATATATATAATTTATATTATCATTATCATCATGTGATATTGCTTAATATGATGTAAATATGAGACAAAAACTCAAACAGGGCCATTTTTGCCCCATATCTTGCATTTTAGGGACATTCTACTAACTATATATATATTATTTAATGGACCTAAGCTAACATCTAACTAACAATAAACTGCTGTATTTTTATTATTTATTTATTTAATATTTATTTCTGTTGTATCAGGGTGTTGCAGAGGCTGAACTGGAGAAAAACCTTGAGCGAACCTTCAAACTGATGTTCATTGCAAGTAATGAAACTGTAAGTTTTCTGAGTTTAATTTTACATTCATTAAATGAATTTCATTAGAGATGCAAAGCTGAGAAAGAAACAGCTCTTTTTTTCATACAATGACAGTTCATATTGACCTTGTCTGTCAAGCTCAGAATGGGAAAAACACCATAAAAGGGTTTTGGTATATAAGACATTTGCACTATATTTCATGTTTTCTAAAGCATTATGATAGCTTTGTGTCAGTAGTATTTTTAATGTGTTAAATGATTCTTTAAAAGTCACTTGTGAGTATTTATGAAGTTAATAGATGACCAAGATTTCCTCAAGATCATAATCATGCATGCATTTTAAAAAGTCGTTCAATAATGTAGTTATAATTCATGTTGCGCTAGCAAACATCTTGACAGAGCAGGAACCTTATGCATGAGTATAATTCTCCCTTCATCTGAAGTGACACGGTTATCTGTTAGATATTTATATTGCTTATCGCCGGCATCAAAAAGCCAGCGCTGATGGAGATCAAAGAGGCGAGGCGTGCGGTTGGTGCTGAATGACCCGGCATCATAATGCGGGCCACTTAAAGGACTCTGATCCTGGACTAATGAATCACAAACGGCAGGCCATCGCTCAGCCTCAGGTAGCCACAAGCTGCATCTTAATGAGCGTGTGGCTACCTGCATCTAAATCATCTTTAGTCTCTGTGATATTCTGGTCTCATTATATGTGATTCTGGGACTTTTTAAGCCAATTTTATGGTCCGCCAGGTGAAAATTGTAAGTCTGATCGCTTAGAAAAGTAATAGCACAGATTTCCCCAACCAGCTGCACATTTTTTGAGGTGTAATTCACATCCTTACTACATAGCAGCACCTTTTAAAAAGGAAAGGACTTGTAGTCTCTTATTACAAAGGAAGGACTGTATGAAAAAATCTGACCTGAGCTATATTTAATAACCAGACTGTCATAGAGAAACACAGTAGAAATCACATAGTAATGTGCTAAAAAACAGAATACATTAGCAAATGCATTTTTGTAAATTGAAATAAATAAAGCAGAAATATTAGATGACTTAAACTTTTTTTTTTTTCGGTTAGTTGCCAAAGCAAAATTTTTAAGATGAATTACTAAAATTACTAAACTGAAACTGAAATAAAAATGAAAAGTAAACAGAACTAAAAAACAAAATATAAAACATAAAAGTACATAAAATTACTAAAACTAAAATATAAACTAAATGTATAAAAATAAAAGCTAATGCAAAATATTAAATAATATTAATACATTTTTAAACTAAAATTATTGTAATTATTAATATTTTTGAATTAGCTTTTATTTTTACATTATTCAGTTTTTCTTTATTTCAGTTAGTTGCAAAGGCAACATTTCTAAAGATAAACAGAAATTAATTAATTAAAAAACAAACATTAGTAAACTTCAACTAAAATTAAAATAAAAACTGAAAATATAAAAATATAAGCTAATTCAAAATATTAAATAAAACAAACTGTTATTTATTAATATTTTGTAATTAGGTTTCATTGTTATATTTCATTGTATATATTTTTCTTGTATTTATTTATTTATTTTAGTCACCATTGGCAACATTTCTATTTAATTTTGCTTAAGTTGAAGTACTAAAACTACTAAAAATAAACCTGAAATATAAAAATTGCAGATAAAAATTAAATATTAAAAAATGAATAAAAATGACAAAAATTTTAAACAAAATTAAAATTGAAAACTGAAAATATAAAAAAGCTAATTCAAAATATTATTAAATACTATAATAGTATATAAATAATACTAGAATAACACTGGCAACCACCTAAAACATCTTATTATAATCTGCAGAAATCATTTCCTAGCACCGCAGGAGTCTGCCAGAGAGGTAAGAAAGTTGTTTTTCTGCTTTTCATTATTTGATGAACAATAGAGAATGATTGGAAGCATCATTAGCTTCAGCAATTCAAATAGCTTCTTTTATGCAGTCAGCTTCTGATTTAGTTCAGTGTTTTGTATTGAGGAATGAATGCATGTGTGATTTGAGTCACACTCGAGAAGAACGGTACAAACCGCTTGTGCTCCGAGCCTCAAAAGACTGCATGACTGCACTGGCCTTATCGTTTTGTTTTCCTTGTCTGCTCTTTTGTTTTATCAGGTGGATTGTTTGTGGGGTCACTGGATGATCCACCCCGCAGTGCTATTCTCAGCGAGTCTGCGCTGCAGTACTATGTTCAGCAGTTCACCAAGAGCGGCTTCAGGTACACTCAGCAAATGGGCAAAAACTGCATCTTATTTATGTGCATTCATATGCATCGTGATTTACTCAAGTAGGACATGTTATTACTGGAACATTTTCATTTTTGGCATGCAGTTTTTAAGTCTTACCAAACTATCCTTTCCTTCTGATTTTAAGTGTGAGTTCTGATTGATATCAGTGTTGTTTCAAGTCCAAAAGGATGTTGTTCCAGGCAGATGTCCTGCTAGACTAAATCATGTTGTGCTATGGCTTCATATTTCTTCAAAAAGTTTTTTATATTTTGTTTAGCTTTAAAATAAAAATGAAAGTTATTAAAAAAAAGGAAATTAAAAAAAATTGTTAAATCTCTTCATAACAGTATTTCACCCAAAAATAAATAAATCTGTCATCATTTACACATCATCATGTTGATTTTAAACCTGTATGATTTTTATGATGATAAAATAATTTTTTTATTAAATAATTAGGATCATTAAGATTTTATACTTTGTGACTTAATTTTATTTCTGCAAAAAAACATAATATACAATATATTTTGTATTTTTTTACATATACTTTTGTGTGTATATGTGTGTGTGTGTATATATATATATATATATATATTTGCATATGCACTTGTCCTGTATTTAATATTTCTTATTTAATATATTTGTATTTATGTATTTTGTTTTATTGTTTGCACACACACACACACACAGTTATATAATGCATGCATGCATTTTGATCACAACAGGATCACACAATTTTTTTATGCTAGATCAATAATTTTGATGAATCTCTGCATGTAATTGAAAGTGTTACATCAAGTATGAATATGTAGAAGTGCAGATGAGATTTTCCGCACACAAAGCTATTTTTCCAATATATTTTGAAAGTAATTGACTATTTTTGTGGTCTGTTCTTCCACAGAATAAAGGAAATCACATGAGTTTGAAATGACAGAATGTTTATGTGAACTATGCCTTTAAACGTGAGGCACTGATAATGAATGCATGCTCATGCACGTGGCATAGATGACATGTTGTCACTGAGGGTCTGGTTTTGCCTCAGGGGTCCTCTGAACTGGTACCGTAACGGGGAGAGGAACTGGCGTTGGATGTGTTCCAGGCCGAGGGGCAAGGCAAGTGTCCTCACCGCGCTCCCGCTCTCTGACACGTCACTGTCAGAAATACCCAAGTGTCGCTTATTCCAGCAATTCCACACCACATCTAACACAGTCCTGCAGCCTGAGCGGAGCAGATGGTCAGGTGTCTGTTGCCTTTGCCCCAACATCTGCTCCTCCATGATGAGCTGAAGTGCTTTAGCTCTGGCTGCATCACTCATAAATGTGTCTTTATATGGAATGGAAATCAATAACCGGTTCTTCTTTAAAATCAGTTGCACTTTTAAAATATACTGATGCAGATTATTTGATTGATGCTGTTAAATGTTGTTTCATGCTGCAAATGAAATCAAGCCTGATACTAAAATATCACTTCTGACATTATTCTCAAAAATCTAATATGTTATATACCTCATCTTGTTGCATTTTTAGTCAGTTCCTTAAGACTGTCAAAACTGATTTGATTAGTTGAAAAGTACATGACAGTGCATCTGCCGTCACAGATCATGATGCCAGCTTTAATGGTGACCGCAGGAAAGGACCCTGTTCTTCTGCCAGCCTTTGCCACAGGCATGGAGAACCTGGTGAGACTGCAACTTTGTTATTCTTCCATTATGTTAATGCTGCATTCACCTCATGTTATAATTACCATAATAACGACGTGGAGATTTTTACTCTGAGTTGTTCACGTCCTCAGACTCACAGATTTATGGAAGCTTATTTACGGTGCGGAATAAAAAAAAAAAAAAAACAACTTTTTATCACACAGATTAACGTCAATGAGTTAACATCAGAATTCTCGCAATTCTGAGAAAACATTTTCGGAAAAGTCAGATTTGTGAGATATTAACTATTTTCTTACAATTCCAAGTTGTCTCGCTATTCTGACTTTTTTCTCGGAATTGTAAGCTAAACTTTTCTTAGAGGTATAAACTCGCAATTGTGATGTTAACTCAATTCTGAGAAGAAGAGTTAGTATTGTGAGATATAAACTCGCAATTGTAAGTTGTGAGTAGGTGCGGTTATGTTTTTGCGAATTTATATTTCGCAGTTCTGATAAAATAGTCTGAATTGCATGATATAAACTTGTAATTGTGAGAAAAAAGTCAGTTTATTTATTCTTGCAATTCTGCCTTTTTCTCAGAATTGCGAGAGATTTTTTCTCAGAGATATCAACTTGCAGTTCTGAGAAGAATAGTGAGAATTGTGATATATATATATATATATCAACAATTGAGAGGAAAAAAAAGTCAGAATTGTGAGAGAAAAGTCGCAATTACCTTTTTTTGTGAGTTTAGAAAAAGTCCGAATTGTAAGATATAAACATGAAATTGTGAGAATAAAAGTCACAATTCTGACTTTTTTCTTAGAATTGGGAGATAAACTTTTTTCGCAATTTTGATTTTTTTTCTCAGAATTCATATCTCAAAATTCTAATAAAAAAGTCAGAATTGTGAGATATAAAGTTAAAATAAAGTTTTATTCTGTGGTGGAATTAAGCATCCTTACAAATTATTAGTGTCTATGGTGAGTTTAAAATTGTGAGTTGAACATACTGTAGATGTAAATTAGTTATTCCGATACTTTACATAAACACAGTACGAGATTGCATGTGTAATGTCGTACTTTAGCATTGTCCATGCAAGCTGACCTGCTGTAAGCTGCTCTTGTGCGTTTCTGTCTGAAGGTCCCCAACCTCACCAGAGGCCACATTGAGGAGTGTGGACACTGGACTCAGACGGAGAGGTAAGATTCACTGGAAAGTGATGTTTGTGCGAATGTTTTTCCACCAAAACGATAATGCCACTTTGTGAAGGATGATGTCATTGAGGAACTGGCACTTTTACAAAAGACTTTGGAAAGTGAAATTAAGAATACAGGGAAACAATATGAATTGATCACCAGTTAAATAATAGTGTATATATAATAAAGAGTTTTACTTGAAATATTTTATTTTAAGAAAATGTACATAAGAATCTTAATAAAATGCCATTTTTAGAGTTTATTAAAAAAAATATCACATCTTAAACCAAAATAGTGAAATTATTTAATATTCACCTCTATGTTTACTTAATTGTGATATTGTGAAAAAACTAATATGATTTGCATCTTTATAAGTTGACTTTATTTTATCCAACATTGTATATATGATGGGGACATGAAAATGTACTGCATAACAAGAATGATTCATTATATTGACATTAAACTTAATCAAAAACTCATATAGCGACAATTTACATGTCTGAATGGCTTTAAAATGACATGGTGTTGCTTAAATGTCGGCAAGGTATCAGGCATACTTGGTTTCCAGGAAATTGGATTGCAAAAAATAATTGACGGACTGTCTGACCTTTAGTACTTTAGTTGACTGTTGTTATATGGGGAGTGTAATAATTGCTAGAATAAAATCGGTTAATACGATGTCAGGTTAGGTTAGGTGGATTAAATGCTCATAGACTGTGTAAGATACAGCCTACAATGCATGGTTTTTGAGTCTTATATTTTCGAAAACATGTGCATCCTCCTTCTTCCCATCATTTCTTGTCCCTTTTCTCAGATCAAATGCTAGACTTATTTCAGTAGTAAATAATTTGAGTCGTATTACTTTAGCAGCACATACCAGGTTATTCTCATGAAAACTCGAAACAATATTTTTAGGTTATGTTTCATCCCAAATATAATATTTTTGCATAAAGAAAATTAAACTTTTTTTTAGAATAGATTTTATGCTTTGTGACACAGAGTTATTGTTAAGTAAATAATTAAATAAAATAATTTAAAAAATGATTGAACCATAAAAAAGGAAATCATAAAAAGCTTGCTTTACTGGAATTAAAATAAACTTTACTGAAATTATATATATATATATATATAATTGTGGTATTTATTTAACCCTAACCCTAATGTAATTGAGGTCTGAGATGTGGAAACGATGAAGAGAGAGAGGGCAAACATTTTGCATTTTAAGTCGGTGTTGCCATCTATTCAGCCAATATTATCTCAAATAGCCTGCATAGCACTTATGACCAAATATATTCAATCTTGATTTATATATATACATACATATATATATACATACACATACAGCATTTTAATTAGCTTGATATACTAAAATAACTGAAAATAAAAAGTATATACAATTTTTTATACTTTTTAAAAAGAATAGATTATTTACATATTTAGAAAACAATAAAAAATTGAGTGAGATAACACTCAGTAAAATGGCTAAAACTTATAAAAACTCATGATAACAAAATATAAAAATATTCATAAGAATAAAAAAATATATAATAGCATCTCAGTGGTACTAAAAACGGTGACATTTAAAAAAAAACACCATGATGCAAAAATAAGCTTAATTTTCCTTGAGCAGGAAACTTAATATACAATAAATATATTTTGGATATATATATAAGTATGTATGTATGTATTTATTTATTTTTCTTTCTTTTTGCATATATACTCTTTTTATTTGGATGAAAGACATTGACCCAGACGTGTTAAAATCTTTGAAATGTAGCAGCAAATTGCATCATGTTGAAAGCATGTTCATGATGCTTGTGTTAAAACAAGTCAACTCAACAGACTATTATTTCCTGACAGACTTGTTCATTGTCATTTATAAGCCTTTTAGAGCAGCAGCACGTTACCATTCAGCATTTCTTACAGAGAGGAGCGTCTACCATCAGGACCGGTGTGAGCATTCAGTTTTAAATTAAGGATTGCTCAGATCCAGGGTTTCCATTATTGAACGGGGTCAGGGCGGTGATTGTGCAACACCATCACCGCGGTCAAGCAGCCAATCACATAAATAACAGTAACGTGACACTGACGGAAAGATCCAGCTCACCTCAAGGTCAAACCACCATACAGAGAAAAACATCCCTCTTATATGTCATTTAAAAAATACAAACCCAAAAACACTACAACTCCCATCTGATAAAGCAGGAGGAATCTCACATAATCTGCCCAAGAAGGCATCCAGGTCACATTTCACCCAGTAATCAACAGAAAGAAATTAGGTTGCATATTATACTGTAGGCTTACATAATAAGATCCTTTCCTTCAGAAGAGGAAGTTAAGCATTTTGTTTTTAAATATTTGTCCCGTTTCCAATGTTTTTCCAGGAACTGTAGTCGTTAACAGTAGGGTTGTGACGGTGAGGAAACCCACCGGTTAATCGACATGTGACAACACCGGTAATACCGGTATCACCGCGGGGGCGGGGCGTTCCCTCTTTTCCTCGCTTTCCTTCGCGTTTAAATAGCTTGTAAAAGCTGCGTGCGCATTTTACTTTCACTTTCAAATAGCGGCAATTCGGCGTAAAGGAATTGTTCGTTTTTAGCTCGTTTGAATTTTCCCTCTTTTCCTCGCTTTCTTTCTTTTAATAGCTTAAAAGCGCCGTGCGCATTTTACTTTCACTTTCGAATTGGCGGCAGTTCGGCATCAATTGCTTGAATGCAACAACAAAATACAACGTCATACTCACTTTAGCGTAGAACTTTTATTAACAAAACAAATAAAAATACACCATGCTATAGGGCAGGCTATGCCTAATA